AAAGGCAATCCTGAGAGGGAAGTTCATACCTATGCAGGCCTACCTGAAAAAGATAGAAACATTTCAAACAAACAACCTAACACTATGCCTACAAGAACTTGAGGAACAATAACAAAGACAGCCCACAGCAAGTACAAGGAAGGAAATAACCAAGATCAAAGCAGAATTAAACAACATAGAGACAATTTTACAGATCAATAAATCCAGCAGCTGGTTCTTTGAAAAGATAAATAAAACCAACAAAACTTTAAGTGGACTCATCAAGAAAAAAAGAGAGAGGACCCAAGAAAACAAAATCTGAAATGAAAGAGGAGAGATTACAACTGATACCACAGAAATACAAAGGATTGTAAGAAATTACTACAAAGAACTATATGCCAAAAATTTGAAAACCTAGATGAAATGGACAAATTTCTAGAAAAACATAATCTATCGAAACTCAGAATAATCAGAAAGCCTGAACAGACCAATAACAGCAGATGAAATTGAAGCAGTAGTCAAAAAACTGCAAACATACAAAAGCCCTGGACTGGATGGTTTCACAGAAGAATTCAACAAAGCATTTAAGAAAGAGCTAACCCTTATTCTGCACAGACTATTCCAAAAAATCCAGGAATATGGAAGACTCTCAAACCCTTTTTATGAAACCATCATCATCCTAATCCCAAAACCAGATACAGATACAACAAAGAAAAAAATTCAGGCCAATATTGCTGATAAAGAAAGATGCTAAAATCCTCATCAAAATATTGGCAAACAGCATTCAGCAATACATTAAAAAGATCATACACCATGACCAGGTGGGATTCATTTCAGGAATGCAAGGATAGTACAACATTTGCAAATCAGTATACATAAAAAATCACATAACCAAAATCAAGGACAAAAATCATTTGATCATATCAATAGATGCAGACAAAGCATTTGGTAAGGTACAGCACCCATTTACGATAAAAACACTCAGTAAACTGGGAATACAGGGAGCACTCCTCAATATAACAAAAGCCATATATGAGACACCTACAGCCATCATACTCACTGGACAAAAACGTAGAACTTCCCCAGTAAGATTGGGAATGAGACAAGTATGTTAGCTTTTACCACTTCCATTAACACAGTATTGGAAGTCCTAGCCACAGAAATTAGACAAGAAATGGAAACAGAAGACATCCAAATTGAAAAAGAGGAAACAATACCATAATTGTTTGCAGATGACATGATAGTATACGTAGAAAAACCTATAGACTCCACCAAAAAACTGCTTGACCTAAGAAATGAATTCAGCAAAACAGTGGGATACAAAGTCAATATTTGGAAATCAAAGGCATTTTTGTATACCAGCAATGAAACAGCAGAAGCAGAAATCAGGGGAAAAAAATCCCATTTGATATAGAAACAAGAAAAATAAAGTACCTAGGAATAAATGTAATCAAGAAGGTAAAACACCTGTACTCAGAAAACTACACAACACTGAAGAAATAAATTAAGGAAGACAGAAACAAATGGAAACATATACTGTGTTCATGGAATAAAAAAATTAACATTATCAAAATGTCCATACTACCCAAAGCAATTTATAGATTCAGTGTAATACCTACTAAAGTACCAATGGTGTATTTCACAGAAATAGAACAAACACTTAAATATTTATATGGAACCATAAATAACCCTGAATAGCTGCAGCAATTCTGAGAATGAAGTGCAAAGTAGGAGGGATCACAATGCCTGATATCAAACTGTATTAAAAGGACACTGTAATCAAAACAGCTTGGTACTGGCATAAAAACAGGCACATAGACTAATGGAACAGAACAGAGAGCCCAGAAATAAACCCAAGTCTCTATGCTCAATTAATATTTGACAAAATTTGACAAAGGCAGCAACATAAAATGGAATAAAAATAGTCTCTTCAACAAATGGTGTTGGGAGAATTGGACAGCTAGGTGAAAAAAAAAACAAAAAACTTGAGAACCAACTTAACCCAGACACCAAAATAAATTCAAGGTGGATAAAAGATTTAAGTATAAGCTGTGACACCATTAAAATCCTAGAGGAGAACATAGGCAGGAAAATTTGAGATATTTCATGCAGCAACATTTTTACTGATATATGCTTTAGAGCAAGGGACATAAAGAAAGAATAGACAATTGGGATCTCATCCAAATAAAAAGCTTTGGCACAGCTAGAGAAAACAGTATTAAAATAAAAAGAGAACCAACCATACAGAAAAACATATTTGCCAATGATACCTCAGCCAAGGGTTTAAGCTCCAAAATATATAAAACACACACAACTCCACTCGAAGAAGACAAGCAACCCAGTTAAAAAGTGGGCAAAGGACTTGAGCATACACTTCTCCTAGGAGGACATACAGAGGATCCAGAGACACATGAAAGGATGCTCAGCATCACTAGCCATCAGAGAGATGCAAATTAAAACCACAATGAGATACCATTTTACACCGGTCAGAATGATAATCATAAACAAAGCAACAAACAAGTGTTGGAGAGGCTGTGGAGAAAATGGAACCCTAGTTCACTGTTGGTGGGGTTGCAGACTGGTACAACCACTATGGAAAACAGTATGGAATTTTCTCAGAAGATTAAAAATGGATCTGCCTTTTGGCCCAGTAATTCCACTGCTGGGATTATATCCTAAGAACCCTGAAATACCAATCCAAAAGAACCTATGCACCTCAATGTTCGTAGTAGCACAATTTACAATGGCCAAGTATTGGAAGCAACCTAGGTGCCCATCAGTAAATGAATGGATCAAAATATAATGGTACATTTACACAATGGAATTCTACACAGCTGAAAGAAAGAAGGAGTTCCTACCCTTTGCAACAGCATGGATGGAAATGTAAAGCATTATGCTAAGCAAAATAAGCCAGACAGTGAAAGATAAATACCACATGATCTCACCTTTAACAGGAAGCTAAACAACAAAACAAACAAGCAAGCAAAATATAACCAAAGACACTGAAATAGAGAACAGTCTGACAGTGATCAGAGGGGAGAGGGGGGGAGTTTCAGGGGAAAAGGGGAAGGGTTTACAGATATAACTATAAAGGACACATAGACAAAAACTAGCGGGAGGTGGGGTGGGGTAGAAATGGGGGGGGAGTTGGGGGGATGGGCTGGGATGGGAGTAAAACTACTTGAACAATAATTAAAATAAAATTAAATTAAAAAAATAAAATGAAATAAAAGAAAATAAATAATCAATCAATATAGTCTAGCACATCAAACAGGCAAAAGAAGAAAAATTACATGATCATGTTAACTGATGAAGAAAAAAGCATTTGACAAAATCCTACATCCACTCATAATAAAAAAAAAACAACCATGCAACTCTGCAAACTATGAAAAGAGGGGAACATTTTCAGCTTGATAAATACCATCTACAAAAACATTACATTTAATGTTAACAGACTGGACACTTTTCCCCTGAGCAAAAGAACAGGGTAAGGATGTCCTGTCTCAATATTGCTATTCAACTTTGTACTGGAAATCCTGACTACAGTAAGATAAAAAACAAACAAATAATATATATACATGTAAAGATAAAACTGTCAGCCCTGGCTGGTGTAGCTCAGTGGACTGAGTGCGGGCCTGTGAACCAGACAATCGCGGTTCGATTCCCAGTCAGGGCACATGCCTGGGTTGCAGGCCGGTTCCCTGCAGGCCAGTTCCCAGCAGGGGATGCACAAAAGGCAACCATACATTGATGTTTCTCTCCCTCTCTCCTTCCCTTCCCCTCTAAATATAAATAAATAAAATCTTAAAAAAAAAACTGTCTTTATTTGAAGTCAACATGATTATGTATATAAAATTCCCAAAGACTACAAAACACCTACAACAACTACAAGTTATAAGCATATACAGCAACATTTTATAGGGTAAAAGTCAATATACAATAAAAAAGTCAACTATTTACCTCCAAGGTCTGTCCAGAAGATATCCAATCATGTAGTATGAAAAATAAAGACATTTAGTAAAGAAAATATAAGGTACAAGAAATATTGTACAAGGAAAAATTACACCTCAGTCCCCTTCAAAGTAGGCACACCTTGGGACCTCACACAATTCTCTCAATAGCCATCAGCTGCCCTGTCATAGTTTCCTAAACCTCACTGATGGTCTGAAATCTCTTCCCTTTCAAAGGTGATTTAAGTTTTGGGAAAAGCTAGACGTCTCACGGTGCTAAATCTGGGCTGGAGCAGAGCTGAGTCACCTGGGTGATTTGATGTTTTGCCAAATATTACCCAAGATGAGCTGGTGTATGGTTGTGATGAAGCTGCCAATTACCAGTTGCCCACAGCTGTGGCCTTCTGAATCAACCGAATAATTTTCATGGAGGAATGTTAAAGCTTAATGCAATAATTGATGCAGATTCACTGCTCTACTCAGTCATTTTGAATGTGATGGCCACACAGTACACATGCTCTCTCAATGGTGTCTATTGCCCTCACTGACTAGTACAGTGAAACCATCACTGTTTATGCATGCTCATTCTAGTCCACTCTCCTTGGCTGTCAGGTTACATAAATCTCACACAAACTGTTCTTGTTACATTAACAATAGCTGGGCTTTTTCCAGACATGCCTTGGTATATCAGAATAAACAACTAGAATTTCATGTTTTCAAATGAAAAAAATTACCAATTATAATATCAAACAGAAAAGTAATCAAGTATAAATCCAACAGAATATACACATGGATTTGAAGGAAAACACAAAACAAATGGAAGAAATCAAAGATCTAAGTAAATGGAGATATATTCCATATTCATCAATTAGAAGACTCAATATTATTAAGATGTCAATTCTTTCCAGCTTAATCTATAAATTCAATGTAGCTGAATTTTTAAAAAGCTACTTTGTAGCTACTGAAGAAATCACTCTAAAGTTCATATAGAAAGGTATAAGACCTAGAATAGCCAACATAATGTGGAAGAAGGAAAAAAAAGGATTCACATTATCAGATTTCAAGACTTACCACAAAGCTACAAGTAACCAAGACAGCATGCTCCTAGTGAAAAAAGCACATAGATCAATGAAACAGAATAGTGGGTCCAGGAACAGACACACCAAAATACATTCCACTGGTTTTTGATGAAGGCACAAAGATAATTAAATTAAAAAAAAATAAGTCTTTCAACAAATGGTATATGATCAACTGGAAATAAAAAATAAAACTAGACAAAGACCTTATAACTTACCCAAATATTAAGTAAAAGTGAAAAACAGACCTGAATATAACATGAAGACCTATAAAACTTCTAAAAAATATAGAACATAACACATAACAGAAAAAATATCTATGTGATCTTGGATTTGGTGCTGAGATTTTATATATAACAGAAAAAGCACATTAACATGAAAAAATATATGGGTTGCGTTTTATTAAAAACAAAATCTGGGGACCAGAAGCAGGGGAGGGAAGTGGGGATGGCTGGTAGGGGTAGGGAGTAAATGCAGGCAACTGTAATTGAACAACAATAAAATAATTTTAAAAATAAATAAATAAAACCTGACCTCTAAGGAAATGAAAACAAACAGACACAAAACAAGCTACAGACTAGTAGAAAATATTTGCAACAAATATATCTAATAAAGGAGTTGCATCTGAAATATACAAAAGACTCAATAAGAAAAACAAATATATAATAACACTCAATAAGAAAAACAACTGGCCTAATTAAAAAATGGGCAAAAGACCTGAACAATCATGTCACTAAAGATATATGGATAGCAAATAAACACATGAACAGATGCTCAACATCATCTGCCACTAGGGAAATGCAAAAATGAGACACCATAACACATTCATTAGACCGGTTAAATCCAAAACAGTGACAATATCAATTTCGGTCCCAAATGCAAAACAATAGGAATTTTGATTCATAATTGGTAGGAATGCCAAGGGATATAGCAATTTTGTAAAACAGTTTGACAGGCACACACAAAGATAAACAGTCTTAACATATGATCCAGCAACTTCACACCCTAGGTGTTTGAAAATTTATATCCATGCCCAAACCACATCTGTATGTCCCTAGAAACTTAATTCACCATGGCCAAAAATCGGAAAGAAACAAAAGCCCATGGGTTGACAACTCTGAAATCACTTATACACATATGTTAAAATTGAATAGTTAAGTCAATGAAATTTGGATGGTGATAGCCAGATTCTCATTGTTAAAGTAGGAGACTACAGAGAAGTGAGAGGAAAAAGCTAGACAGAATGTTCCATGCAGCAATGATTATACCAGGGGACATCAGTATGAACTAATACTTAATAATTAAGATACAGATGATTGCATACTAAAATATTCATATATTTTATATATGTGTATATACATGAGTTAGTATATACATATACTTCCTTGTTCAGTCAGCTGAGAGTCTACAATGACACATCAGTAGCAATAAGCACACCTAGCTTCCCCAAACCTGGTTTCTAATACAATGTCCCAATAAAACAAACCAGAGCTCCTCAGAGAAGAAAAGGCTAATTCTAGAACAGGGAATATATAAGATAAAACTGGAATATCTCTTTATTTTTTTTTAAGTACAGTTGTCTCCATTTTTCCCCAATCACTGCCACCCACCCTAGCCATCCCCACCTGCCACATTTGATCCTCATCCCTCTTTAGCTTTGTCTATGTTTCCTTTATACATGTACCTGACAACCCTTCCCTCTTTTCCCCCATTACCCCTTCCCACCTCCTCTCTGGTTACTGTCAGTTTGTTCTGTATTTCAATATCTCTGGTTATTTTTTCCTTGCTTGTTTGCTTTGTTGATTAGGTTCCACTTATAGGTGAAATCATATGGTGTTTGTCTTTCACCACCTGATTTATTTTGCCTACCATAATGCTCTCTACATGCTATCCCAAAGGGTAGCAGCTCCTTCTTTCTTTCTGCTGCATAGTATACCACCATGTAAATGTACCACTGATTGTCTTTTCTTTTTTTACTAGATGGGCTTATTTACTGATGGGCTCTTAGGTTGCTTACAGCACTTGGCTATAGTAAATTGTGCTGCTATGAACACTGGGGCGCATAGGTTATTTTGAATTAGTGTTTCTAGATTCTTAGGGTATAGTCCCAGCAGTGGAATTACTGGGTCAAAAGGCAGTTCCATTTTTATTTTTCTGAGGAAATTCCATAGTGTTTTCCTCAGTGGCTGCACCAGTCTAGTCTGCATTCCCACCAAAAGCATTCTAGGGCACCCTTGACTCTACAACCTCACCAGCACTTGTTTGTTGATTTGGTTATGATCGCCACTCTGACCGGTGAGAAGTGGTATCTCATTGTGGTTGTAATTTGCATCTTTCAGGTGGCTAGTGATGCTAGGCATCTTTTCATATGTCTCTGGGCCCTCTGTATGTCCTCCATGGAGAAGTAAGGAAGTACAATATAAAAACACTAAAATGTGGTGTATCAAAAGGACAGAGAAACTAATTGAAAGTGGTCTCAATAACCAAGCTGGAACAATGTGAGCAACAAAATTAACAAGGTAGTATTCTATAACTAAAGAGTAAATACATAGTTATGAGTTCAAACTAACATATATAATTGAGTAAATTAATAAACAAGAGAAAATACACAACTCTGTACAAAATTCCTAATAATTTATGGGGACACTCCATCATGAAGGAGGTGTACCATAACTCCTGTAAACAGTATTATAAATAAAACTACTTTTTTTAAAATTTTTTATTGATTATGCCATTACAGTTGTTCTATTCCCCCTTCATTCCCCTCCACCCTACCCCCGCCCGTCCCCATCATTACCCCCCTTTAGTTTATGACCATGTGTCTCAAGTTCTTTGGATTCTATATTTCCCATGCTATTCTTGCCCCCCCATCTATTTTCTATCTACTGTCTATGCTACTTATTTTCTGTACCTTCTCCCCCCTTCTCCTCCTCCCACTCCCATTGCTAACCCTCCATGTGATCTTCATTTCTATGTTTCCACTCCTGATCTAGCTGTCCTTTTAGTTTGCTTTTGTTTTAGGTGTGGTTGTTAATAACTGTGAGTTTGCTGTCCTTTCACTGTTCACATTTTTTTTAACTTCTTTTTCTTAGATAAGTCCCTTTAACATTTCATATAATAAGGGCTTGGTGATGATGAACTCCTTGAATTTGATCTTATCTGAGAAGCACTTTATCTGTCCTTCCATTCTAAATGAAAGTTTTGCGGGATAGAGCAATCTTGGTTGTAGGTCTTTGGATTTCATGACTTGGAATACCTCTTTCCAGTCCCTTCTTGTCTGGAAGGTCTCTTTTGAGAAATCAGCTGACAGTCTGATGGGGACTCCTTTGCAGGTGACTGTCCCCTTAGCTCTTGCTGCTTCTAGGATTCTCTCCTTCATTTGAATCTTGGTTAATGTCATGATGATGTGCCTTGGTGTGTTTCTTCTTGGGTCCAACTTCTTTGGGACTCTCTGAGCTTCCTGGATTTCCTGGAAGTCTATTTCCTTTGCCAGATTGGGGAAATTCTCCTTTATTATTTGTTCAAATAAGTTTTCCACTGGTGGCTGTTCCTTTCCCCCTTCTGGTACCCCTATAATTTGGATGTTGGAGTGTTTAAAGATGTCCTGGAGGTTCTTAAGACTCTCCTCATTTTTTTTGAATTCTTGCTTCTTTGCTCTTTTCTGTTTGGCCATTATTTGCTTTCTTCTGGTCCACTCCATTGATTTGAGTCCCAGTTTCCTTTTCATCGCTATTGGTTTCCTGTGCAATTCCATTCATTTCAATTAGTTTCACCTTCATATGTTTCTCTAATTTGTGGCTATAATCAACCAGTTCTGTGAGGATCCTGATCACCAGTGTTTTAAACTGTGCGTCTGAGAGTTTTGCTATTTCTTCATCACTTAAATTTATAGGCTCTGGGGCTTTGAGATCTTCTTGAGCCACTTTTGGTCTGTTCGTGCCTGTTAAGTGTGAGGAGCAGAGCCTTGGACTCCCAGGTGGCTGGGTTGTGACGCTAGATGTGGGGGCATGGTCAGAGTGGGGAAATGGCGGCGCCCTCCACTGGGGCCTGCTGGGGCCCGTCCTACGGCCCACTCCCTTGCTGGTCCATCTGCGCAGGAATGGGTGACCACAGTCAAATCTCGGCCCTGCTCCCTGTCTGGTTCCCCGCGGTCGCTCACTGGATCACTCACTAGGTCCACCCATTGCAACCCTGCACCTGGGGTCCGAGTGCCTGAGTCCGTCTGACCGAGTTTTCCTGTGCAACCCCGCTCTGCCAGCTGCTGGTTTCGACCCTCTTACCGGTCAGGCTAAAGAATTTATCAGACTTCCAAAAAGTTCAATTTTCTGTGTTCTGGCTGTGTTTTCTGTTTCTAATATTTAGTTGTCTCTAAATTTGGTTGTGTGAGAAAGCATGGCGTCTCCACCTATGCCTCCATCTTGGCGGAAGCTGAAACCACTTTAAAATGAAGCTGAACCTACCATGCCAAAGGAACTGCCTTCCACATCAATGCTGCAAATCTTTGGAATGTTTAAAATAGGATAAAATAATCTTTGGACTGAGCCTAAGCAAACTTGTTCCCCAACAACCTGTTTATAGAAATGGTAACAACAAAAACAGATAGGACTAGTAGACTGATGAGTACATCTGAAAATTTAAATAAACTGTTTAGATTTAGCATCACTATATTATCTACACAATAGAAATGCCTTTCTTCTATTGATGTTAATTATCCCCCCATCCCTTTCTCACACATACCTATTGCATTTGTCTCTTAACTGGAACATTATTTAGGCTTCTGCCTGAATTAATGATACCTAAAGTGTTATTGTTATTGATCTCAACTTATTAATATCAAAATGAGAGGCTTGACTGCTTCTCACTTTGGAAGCCCATATTATTTTGGGATTAACATATTAGAGACTATTAAGAGAACTGACTTGGCCTCATCTTCATTGTTCAGTGTACCCTGCACTAGGTATGGTACCTTCCATGGGCTGGTTTCCTTTACTGTAAAGGCCTCATAGGTTCGTGGACCTCCCTCCTTAT